CTTTTTAATATCTTCTACTATTTAGGCCCTTATTGTATAAATTACTTACAATTTATACTTCTCGGCTACCTAACTAAAGGTTATTACTGATAGTTCTTAAATATTATTAAAGTTAATAGGATTATAGAATATACTATAAATGTGGATTAGCGTATAATAATTAGTATTATTAGTACGGACGCCTCCAACTACCTAATAAGGAATTAAAATAACGCAAAGAACTCTAAAGCCGGATATAATTAAAAATATTAAAATTTACCCAAATCCGCTAGGGGTCTTACCGATAGGTATAATATTTAAATAATTAACTATTCAATATTAAAAGTAATTAAACTTTTAACGAACGGCTCTCTTTATAATTGTAAAAATAGAAATACAACGTACAATATTAATTTAAAGGCTGTATATGTAGTCGAATTTAAATTCCCCTTCGAAGGTAAGCTCCCTTTCGTCCGGGACCTCTTCGTAAGAAACTTTTTTATAAACGGAAATTAGGTAAGTACCCAATACGTTAAATGAAAGAATAATATAGCTACCCCCAAATTTTAAAAGGGTACAGCGTATATAATTGGGGGCGCCCTTTAGGAAGTAGCCTCTTAATTTATATATTAGAGTAAACTATAAAGAATTAGAGGGTTAGGAAATACTTAGGGCGTAGTAAACGAACGAGGGGTAACTAAGAATAACTAGGTTATTTTTTACTAAATTATAAATTAATAAATCAATAACTTCGTAATAAAATCCCACTTATATTATTAATTTAAAGAAAATAGGTAATATTACCTTTAACTAAGCCTCTATCGGCGAAATAAAGGATCTTTAGCATTCTCAATTTATAATAAGGAAATTAATAACGGTAAATAAAGCGTCTATTAATAAAATTAAGAACAGTATAGCCGCTATCGATTAAAGTAGAGCAATATAATTTACACGATCTATCGGATAAATAAATAGAGAAATTTAATAAATTAAAATATTTATAACGGCTATTGACAGAACATTTATATATTTCAATTATATTTAATTATATAAAGATATTCCCCTTTTCTCGTCTTAATCCTATAGACCTATACCTCTAATTACAATTTAATTTAGAAGTTATATATTTCCCTACTAGCCGACGACGCCGTTTTTATTACCCTAGAAAGGGCTAACGAAATTTAATTAATAAATAGAAATTAGGATATTCTAATAGTCTTAGGCGGCCGCAACCGTAGGGGCTATACTTATAATATTAATTTAATAACCTCTAACCGGGCGGTATTAACCGTACTACTACTGGCTATAACCGTATTAACCCTGCTAGGGAGTAGCGTTACTTCCTCTACCGCTACTTCTACCGCTTCTACTTCCTCTATAACCTCTACTTCTACTATAGAATAAATAAACCTCCTTCCTAAAATTAATACTAGTATAATACGTAGCCGAAAAGTAACCCCAATAGCCGTAGCGGGTATAAGCGCCCGTTTGCATATAGTAATTAAAAACTTCTTAAAAAATCATACCGCGTAAAGTAATATTGGTAGCGGATATTTTATCGAAATTAATGTCTATAGATGTACCGCCTTAATTAACGAACTTATCCGCAGCGGAAATAGAAATAGTCTTTAATTTATAAAAGGGATTAACGAAATTATTATAGTAAATATTATCCTTAAAATTCTAAGCGAGGCCCCGGGCGGTCTTAAACTACTTTATATAATTATTATCGGCGGGCTAAAGGAATTAAAGAGCGAAAGCGGCCCGGACCTCCTTAATAATCTTATTATAGAAGTAATATATTATTATAACGTTATCTAACTTATAGCGGTCGACGAATAGGGTAAATTAATCTTCAAAAGTTTATTAGCGTATATCTTTAATTATCTTTAACTCATCCAATTCGCAACGAGCGTAAATAGTAAAATCGATATTATCGTACTTAGTATTAAATTCGGCGAAAAGGTCTATCGCAATCTTCTATTTCCATTTAGTATTATTGTTAGAATATTTAAAGATTATATTCAAATCCGATTCAATAGTAAAAAAGGGCGCACTCTCTAAGGACTTAACGATATACGAAAACTATTTAATTTCGGGCATAAAATAAGGAACCTTATCGAGCCAATATAATTTAATTTTTATACGTTAAGTATAATAGTATTTAATATACTTTAAAGGGGTATTACCCTTAGTATTAAATAGTAAAACGTACGAATGGAATAATACCGACCGGCCGCTACCGGTAGTTATAATTGATATATTAAAATCGCTTAAAGGGCTGGGATTATTAGGGGTAAAGATTTAAATTAGATCGTAAATAAAGTTAACAATATTAATTTACTTCAATCGATCGCGGAAATTATCAATAGCCTTAACGTACTTCTTACGTTATCTTTAGAAAGCAAAATTAATATTAATTTTAAAATCAACGAACGATTATTTCAACGCGGCAATTTCTTTATATAGTTCGTTAATTTTAAATTTATATTAAAAAGCTATAGTAACGAAGTTACTATTAAATTTGAAAATCTCCTTCTAGGATTCCTCCAAATCTTCCTCCGCTCTCTAGGTGTAGTCGCGGGCCTCGATTACGTCGTCGTAAACCAAGCGGTTCAAAATAATAATTACGTCGCGGAAAATAGGGGTAGTCGCGAGGGCGAAGGCGTACTTTATAATCGAATTCGAAAGAAAACCGGTAAAGGGATTATTATTAAAGTTTGTAAGTACTTCTACCAAGTTATTATAAATCGCTTAATTTACGGGGTTAGAGACTTAAAGGGTTCCGATTACAATAATTACAATAAGATTATTTATAATAACTAGGACGTCCGATATTAATCGCTAAATTAATTGTAACGGCGGTAATCTCTTACGGTCACTATTTTTAAAGTAGGAAGGGAGAAGGGACTAAATACCTAATTAATTAATTCTTAGTTCGGCCTAACAATAAGCTCGAGTCTTATACTTGTTCTATTAATGAGGGCCTAAGTCTTTAGTTACTTAATTAATTAATTTCTCCCTTGAGCGTATACAACGCAATAGTAAAGTATAATAAACTATTATAGGGCGAGGCACTATTAGGTATAGGGTAAGATATACGTTATTGTACGGAGGAGAGGAAGGGAAGGTATGCGTAGAGGATTGGCTATATAGGCGAGAGCCCTGGCAGGCTAGTCCGTGTACGCGTACACGTACAGCTGCACGTAACTACTATACTTTAGGCATGGCACATGAGGCAGTCAGTACAGTGCGAGAATATCACAGGCTAGCCCTGTGACAGCGGGAGCTCTAGAAGTGGGAGTAAAGAATTTAATTCTAATTTTGACTCTAGCTCTAGTATAGCTATTTGAATATAATTTAATATTAATTTTAGAGATGTTAATTCTAATTTGCTATTAGTTTAAAGTATTAGAATTGACTGGTTCTCGTACGTACTTACGTTTCGTAGAATTGGGAGTAAGATCGTTAATATTATTATTATTGCCCTCTTAGTAAAATAGTTTATACTATATATTCGGTTATAAGCGAGGTAGGTTATTAAAGTTACTCTATTTGATAGGCTTAGCCTTTTTACTCCCTTTCTTACTCTTTAACGCTAGTATAACCTTTTTACTTCCTTTCTTTAAATTAGGTGTAGCCTTTTGCTTCTTAGGGGTCTTAGGGGTCTTGGGAATCTTTTACTTTGCCTCTAAGTCTTTAAAAAGGGTATATTCGTTAGGGATATTTCTAGTAGAATTCTTAGTACAGCTACAATATATAATTGTAACGCAAAGGTTTTAAAGGCGAATGTAGAAATTATAAATATTTTATTAAAATAATTGGTTAGTAAATAGAGTAAAGAAATAGGGAATTTAACGTATAAAGAGCTCTTTATAATATTAGCGAAGGTATATATAAGTAAACTTTAAAATTTTTATATAACCAACCTCTTAAATATAATATAGTAGTAAAGTAGTCTATATTAAGTAGTAATGTTATACTCTTTATTATAGGGCTCTAAAGTAAATAAATCTTTACATTAATTAATAAACTTATATTTTTCTGCTTAGCGGTATTCGTAACCGATTAATTCGAATATAATATAATTAATTCATAGCAGTAATTTATTTAAATACGTACGGTCGATATACTTTTATTATTAGTGAATTTATTAGCGTACGATTTTTTCTTTAAAGGTTTAGTATTATTTAGTAGCTATTTTTACAATAATAGTAATTAATTTATAAATATCGTTATTACCGCTAAGAAGGTAGCTTTTAATATTAAAGTTATTTAATTTAATTGGGGATATAACCTTGATACTAAGGTTCCTGTACTTCTTAATATAATAGTATACCTATTAATCTTTAATAGGAAGTTAATTCTTTTAAATATATCGAAGAACTATCCTAATACTTTAATTCGGTATTAGTATATAATATAAATTTAAATATAGCTACAATAAATACTATAAGGGTCGTTAATAATTTTAATAATTTTACCCGTAGTATTACCACTTCCACTTTATATAGACGAATAGATATTTTAATTAATTAAATTAAAAGATACTGGATTCTCCTAATTATCTTTACCCTCCTTATCCTTAGAATTATCGTCGTCGCTACCCTTTTGCTTCTTCTACTTTTTTTTAGTATTGAATAATACATTTTTAACAATATGGAATAGATAGAGCTATTATTGGGTATTAGGGAAAGTGTTACTAAGTAATTGCTTTATTTTCTTGTATTTATTTATAATAACGACGATAGGTTTAAGAAGATTGTACTATAATTTTAGCTCTTTGGTAGTTTTTATTAGGAAGTTGAATGCCTTTTACTTCTTATTATTAATGATATTAAAAATATAGTTAAATACCGAGCTAGTAGAAGAGACGTTCGAAATTTAGTAAAAGGGATAATAAAACTGGTTAGTATTATATATATTATTACTAATTATAATTTCGGGAAATATTTTAATTAGTAATATATAAGCTAGGAAGGTAAAGATAAGGCTTAATAACCGTTCCTTATTATTTAGATTTATTTTTTAATATATTTAATATTATTATTATTAAATAATTTAAATAAGGTATTAGTAGGGGTATAGCTATCGAAATTGCGGCGCCGTATATATATACATATATTATATATATTGGTTTTCGTATATACGGATTTAGGAAAGTCCTTTCGTACTATAGTAATAATTTTTCGAGTTTGTATAGTATTAAGTTTAGAAGTGTCGTCGATTTTCTTAAATATTTTTGGCTTTATTTTGCGGTGTTAGGGGTAGGTAAATAGGTATTAGGATTGGTTATAATTGTGAATATAGTGATCCGAATTAGGATGTAGTTGAAAGTGTTAAAAACTATCGTTTTTATCCTTCTTTATAACCCCTTTCTATAAATAATTATATTTTCGTAAAGCGGTCTTTCGAATAATTGCTTTAAATTTGCGGGGTTTGCTATAGCGGTTATAGATAATATAATACTATATATACTTAGAGATAGGGATTCTAGGTTTTATGTTGCGACTTTGGGTACGAGTGATTGTAAATTTGTAATTTTTTATTTATTTATTAATAGATTGTGAAAGACCTTCGATTGTAGCCGCGGGGGGTATAACGCTAGAGGGTGGATTAATAATTGTATTTTTGTGATTGAAGAGTTCGTTTTCGGGTTCGTTGTCGTTATTACTGGTTGGGTTGTAAGAGGGGAGGTTACAATTTGAATTAGATTTAGGATCGCTCTCTTTATAAGGTAGTTGTATTGAGGGAGGCGGATTGGGCGAGCGTATATTAGATTCGCTATTAGAGTCGCTAGGAGAATTAACGAGAGTATCGTCGTTAGAAAAACCTTCCTACTCTTCGACGTTAATAAAGGGATCGCTATCATTGTCATTAACGACGTCGCTATTAGTATTGTTAATTTGGGTAAGGTCGATGGCTACGCCGTTATTTAGATTCTATAGCGGTATTTTGAGAATTTTATATATAATACGCGTAGCGTTTTAAAGGTTTAAGAAAGCTAGTAAACGGTTCTAGTAATTAATGCGATTAATATTTACGTACGTACGGTCGATTTTAGCTTGTTCTGGTGATTAAAGGTAGCCTAGTTGTAAAGAGGGAGTAGAAAGAAGGTTATGAAAGTTAAAGAGGTTTAAAATTATTATACGAAAGGGTATTGTACAATTAGTATCTAATTGTATTAAAAGTTAGTAAAAAATAATGTGCACGTTAAACCCTAACCCGATTGGTGCGTATATAAGGATTGGTGCCCCCGTAAGACGACGCTGGTACCCCCAGATGAAATGCCATCTAATATTATATATTTATAAGGCATTACTAAATATTAATGGTATTTTTTATAAAAGTTAGTAAACTAGCTAGTAAATAGCAGTTGGTATACCGGTTGGTAAATTAGACCTTCCCCTCTATTTAAGAGATTAGAAGTTCGTACTTCTTTAACTAAGGTAAATTAAAAATAATAGAGTAGGCGGGGGAGAGGTTATAGATTAAAAATATAATATTTTCGAAGTAGTAACCGATATAGAAGTTAATAGCCAAACTTTTAATAATAAAGTTTTTTATAATACCGTTAACGAGGGTAAACTTTTTAAACTTTAATAATTTAAAAGTAGTAAATCTATTTTTTTTTACAAAGGAATAATTAATAAAAGCTATTACTAAATGTTTATTATCGACGAAGGCTATATAAAGGATTTTATACGGTCCGAATAATAAATAAGAGGAAAGGAGTAATAAATTTCATTTAAAATCATTTACCGAATTAATAATAATTGTTTTTAAATTTTCGTAGGATTTCCGGTAATTCTCTTATAAGGATTTTCTTTATTTCTATAGGTAATTATTTATAGAATTTAGGCTTTTTCTTAATTAGCGCCGTTATTAGCGTTATAGTATTCTTTACTTTTATCTTCATTTTCGCTAGCGTCGGTAGTACGAAGGCTAGAATTACCGTAGCCTCTCTAGTTAGTAGAAGGGCGGCCTAAGGAATTATTAACTCTTAAACCGGAGTTAGAACCCTAACTACTATAGCTTCCTCGACCGCCCCGGCCGCCGTAGCCCCGGTTAAAGCCTCTATAATTATTACAAGCATTACTATTTTAAAGATGTTTATTACTATAATTAATATTATTCTTATAATTACGTATAATATAACCATCTTAATTATACTTCCTATATAAATTGTCTCTTATATACTAACTAAAAACGTTCGAATAGATAATATAAGAAATATAGACGGTATTGAAGTCTATAGTATCGCCCCCTTAATTAACGGTACAGTATTTAAAGCCGCTACCACCGCCAGAATTGCCGGAATTAAAATTAAAATTATTATTACCCTTACTAAATTACAAGTAATTAATTCTACTATAGTACTTATCCTTTCCGATATTGTATGTAAAGTCGCGGTAAAAAATCAGTTATCCTTTATAATTATTATCGTCGGATAGAATATATTAAATAACGACAGCTATACAGAATTTTAAAAATATCTTATTATATAAGTAATAAATCTTTATCAAATCGTTTAACCGATAACGGTCGGCGGTTTTAACGAATTTATTTTCGAATACAATAAAGAAACGATTACCTTATTTAAATTCGTCTAAACGACGTATAATATTGAATTTTAAATCGATATTATTATAGCAGAAATCTAGGAATTTAATAAATTCGAAGCCCGTTACCTACTTCTACTTTTTAGGGTCGTTAGAGTTGGCTAAAATATTAAAAATATTTTTTTCGACGAATACAGTTATTTTAAAGCCTAATAAATAAGTAGTATAGGCGATTTTAATTCGATTATTGGGGAAATAGAAAGTATTGAGGGTTTAAATTATTATAACCCGGCTTTTCTAAATAATATAATCCTTATTCTATTAGATAAGGTCCTTTTAGGTAATTGTAAAGGTTTCGGGGTTAAAGAGTAGCGTTTTTTTTAAAAAGGGTTATAGTAATGTAAGGAACTTTAACGCCAGTTATATAGACCCTAGAATTATTTTCTAATGTATTTCTACTTCCCGTACCTAATCTTCTACTAGTATTATTACCCTCTCTACCATTATTAATATAATTAATTATATTATTAGTAATTCGTTTTATTTAATCGAATTCTTTTTATATCTTTGAAAGAATTGATTATATCGATTCGATAATACGTAGTATTTACTTGAATTTATTTTCGAAAGCTACATTCTTCTTCTCTTCTACTTAGAATTATTCCGAGAATTCTTTAAGTTAATCAGAAATATTATTAGTATAATAATTAAATATTTAGATTGCCTATACAATAGGGTTAATAATAATACGAAAAACGTTTACGTTAATAAATTTAATAATTATAATAAAAGAATTTCCGATAATTTCTAAGGGCGTAGAATTATCCTCTTTAATAATTCTAATAAACTTTTTAATAATAGGGGTCGTAGAGATATCATCTAACATTATAAAATAAATTTCTTTATTTATTAAGGGTTAATTAAAACCCTTTAATTCGTGGAAAATTTCTAATTTAATATTTTGAAGAGCGTTTAGGACGTTGATGTCCTCCTAAATATATATTAGTAATAATTATGATCCTTTTAATAAAATCCTTGCGTTAGTAATAATAATATTGTTATTGAGAGTTATAGGCTCCTTTTGCTACGGGATTTTTTTCGCCGATTAACGGCGTTGCGATTACTATATTAAATAACGTGCTTTTTCCTTATAATATATATTCGTAGTGTAATAATGGGTGTAAATAGTTATTATAGGGTAAGGCGATATTGAACGTTGGAGGTAAATTAAGACTTATATATTTGTATAAAGAGGAAAGGAAATTATAGAATATATGTGTGGTTCGTAAGGGATAAACCTAGTGGTGAGCCTATGGTACGTGTACGTGACTGACCTACTTGCCGCCTCAGTACCGAGGCGGTAAGGTATTGGTTATAGTAGTGCAGCCAATTAGAGAGCGTACATTCACCCGGCAACCATTGCTGTAGTGATGCCGCGACCAGATGACAGTTACAGGCTAGCCCTGTGATATATCCGGGTCCTCTTCTAAGGTTAGAAAATTTACCTATATAATACAATCTATTACTTCCAACTCTAAATACGCCCGTTAAAAGTCCGTATTTAGGAAGACTAATATATACCGGTAAAGAAAGTTACGTTTTTAAAATTCTAAGGTCTATACAATACTTATACACTTACCGAAAAGACCTTCCTTAATCTCTTTAAATAATATATTCGCCTTTACATTAAATATGCGGCTAATAATATCCGGATAGTCGTTAGAAATAAGACTGTTAAATTCCCGTTTAACTTCTAGTTAGTACGGATTCGTAATTATAAAAATAAAGAATATAAGTTTACTGAATTTATAAGTAATAGCCATAGAATTCTAACAATACTTAATTGTTGGACTTAATATATATATTATATAATAATTATATATTTATAACGGATTTACGGGTCTATACTATACTATATTAGTATAGGAATTGTTATATGGGTAATATATACTATAAATATATGCCCTATATTTTTGGTTGAATTTATTCGATTTTATTCGAATATATATTCGTGGTTGAATTTACCCTATATACAACCCTAACCCTCGTAGAGGGTGTCTGGGTGGTCTGGACCGCACTGGGCGGTCTGGAATCGATCCGTGGCGCGGGTGGCGTACGGAAGTGAAAAGGGTAGACAAAGGAATCCTTTGTCCTTTGAAGCCTCGAAAACCTTCCAACTTTGAAAACCGATTTCTTAGCCAGTTTTTAACATACAAAAGAGAACAGACCGTTTTCGGAATATACGGAAGACAAAAAATTCAACGGTATAGTCGGTTTTCTGACTGCATAACCACAAGACCCAAAAAGTCTATGAGAAGGGAAGGATCCTTCGAGGAAAGAAGGATTTGACTAGTTAGACATCACTCAACGATATCTTTACCAATATACAACCTTTCCAAACAAAACACATACCATTCTACTCGTCTTCACCTCCTCTACACAACCACAATATCCATGCCTTCAAAAGCCTACCGTGCAACCATCTTTCTCAACGCTAAACGATTAGATTTTATCTATCTCGTTATTCACCCTAAAGAAATCTACGCCTCTCTCTACAACGTTTTCTTAGTTGCAACCAGTTCAAACCTAGACTTTTCTATATTAATATTATAATGTATATTATTAATATAATTAAAGGGCAAAATAATTCTCTATTTAATGTTTAAAGTAAAATTACTTGCGCCTTCTTAAATATTTAT